CGTGTTGTTGAGATTTGTTTCTGTGAATGCGAGGATACTTGGTTTGTGTTTATTGATATATTTTGTCCAGAGGAGTAGTTTTCCTGGGTTCGATTTAAGACCTCTGACATTTGTTGTGAAGATATTCCAGGTTTGTCCTGTGATTTGATAGTTAAGGGTATGTTCAGGGTGTTGTTTATGTGATGTGGTAGTATTGTTTGTTAGTATAATTAATTTTTCTTGTGGAGATTTAGGGTAGTCATGGGATATTGGTGGTGGCGTATCAGTGTTTTCATTTGTTGTGGAGTCTGAGTCTGACCATGATGAATTCATTACGAGTTGTTGTGTTTTGAGTGAGGAATTATTGTGGTTGTTGGTTTGGTAGTTATGTGTCATATTTGTATTCGCATATTCATTGTTATTGAAATTGCTGTGTGCATTTACCATAGTTATTGATTGTCAGTAGGTTTGGTTGAGATCTGAGCTAAAGCATCTATTGTGGTAAAAATTTGGTTCATTTTGTCTTGCCTCCTGTCGATAGAGGAGAAGAGTTGTGTTTGTATGTTTCTGAGGTCTTCAAAGCTATCTTCAGGTGCAGATTGTGTACTATTAGATTGTGATATGGGTGTTGAGTCTTGCGATATTGATGTTTGTTCACTATCCATTGATTCATAGTATTCTTCATCATAATATTCCAGGTTGGTGATACGCTCGTCCAGTTCTGCTACTTGATATTTGATAGTATTCAGTTGTTGCTGAATTTTTCTGAGAATAGTACCGATGTCTTCGAGGGTTATTGGGTTCTCCTGTTTAGGTTTGGTTATTCAGGAAACTGCTGTTGCATATGTCCCTGCTTTTGATATTTTGGGTGTTCTTGGTTTATTGATGTTGCGGATTGATGAAGTTTTTTCTGATTTGAATTTGTTGTAAAGGTCTCTGAATTTAGTTGCCTGGTTTTTGTTGTAGGTGTTCCATTGAAGGCCCTTTCTTTGGTGGGACAGTTTTGGGCTAGGTGAGAAGGTGCATCACATATTGCACATAGTTTTGTTGAGATTGGAGGGAATGAGAGGATTGTTTCTCCTTGTTGGTATTGTGTTTGTGCTGCTGTTAAAAGGTCTTCTTGTGTTTCGAAGCTGATGACGGCAAATCTTTTGGGTTTATAACCCTTGTTTGCTGCCCTTGGGATGTAGCATGTGCATTCCTTGCATTGTGTGAGGATGTTTTTGATATCCCATGCTGATGTGTTGGGAGGGAGGTTCGTTAGTTTGGTGGCGATCTCATGTCTTTGTTTCATTTATTGAAGTGTCCATTCTGCATCATTGATTCTCACTGAGTCTTCTTTGATTAGGATGCTTCTGATATTTATTAGTTTGTGTTCAGGTTCTTGGTCTTCGAAAGTGATTGTGGCACATTGCTACAAGTTTTGGGTTTTCATAGTGATACCTTGGATTTGACCATGTTTGGCGAAGGCTTGTTTGACTTCAATGAGTCTTGTATTCAAGGGGATGTCCCACACTACTATGGAGTTTCTTTTATTGATTTGTTGATGGCCAGTTTCCATATGTGTCAACCTGTTACTATCCATTTCTGGGAGCTCTATGGTTGTTGCATATTCCGCTGCATATTGATCTGCAAAGATAGCAATGATTTGTATGTCTTCTTTTTTCCCTTCACTGCGTACTGTCAGAAGTCCTTTAGGGAAGTTGAGAGCTAGAATGATATGTTCTAGTTTTTGGTGTGTAGTTTTTCCTTTGACTAGTTTTGCTAGGATATCAACCTTGTATTATTCTCATCCATATCAGATTGTTCTGTCGAATGGTGATCTGGATCTTGATCTGTCCTGAGGATTGATGATTTCTCTATTTTTGTCTTTGGAAATGATAAACCATTTTTGTTCTGAGTTGTTTTCCTCTTCAGTTTCCATCTCTTCATCTGGGCTGTTGTTTCGAGCTGTTTGTGGTTTCTGGATAGTGGTTCTTCTGTGGTGTTTTTCTTGTTGCTTATTTTGTTCGTTCATTATATTGAGTTGTGTTTCTACTATGTCACTCCATGAAGAGGTTGATGCCTCTGATTCTTGGCTTTGTTGAGGTAAATGTTCTGTCTCTTGTTGTTGATTTTCTTGGAGCATTGTTTCTTGTTGCGTAGAAGTACTGGTTGTGTTGTTGTTGGGTTGATGGTCATTGTTGGGAATAGTGGTTGCCGTTAATTGTGTGAGCTTCTTGGCTGCTGTCGTATGGATTTCTTTGCATATAGTTGGGTTTTAGCCAGGCCCAGTTCTTTGCCGGCTCTTTATCATATCTCAAGGTATGCTCTGTAATTGTGGGAGGATTGTTGGAAGCTCTGGGACTTCTGTTGTGACTTGTCATTTTTCTTTACCTTTCATCTTAAAAGTTTCCAAAAAAGGAAATTTTTAAGGATCTGGTTGGTTACAGGAAAGAGTTTTTTTTTTCATAATATATATATATATATATATAGGTTACTATATAAGACTATATATAATTTAGCAGCAGTGACCTGCAGGCAATGATATTAAAAGTTGGAAGAGTTTTCACCTGAACTTTTAATGGAGTGAAAATTCATTTCCAAAGTTGCACTTAGAGTAATTATTGAAACAAATGAGCTAGTTAGAGTTTTAGCTTTAGTGATTCATACTATATGTACAGCTTACAATTATTTAATAAAGTACACATAACTAGCCTGATAAAGGATTTAAAAAAAAATAATAAGACTATATATAATTTCTATCTATTCAAAAGATATACAAATCTTTAATTTTTCTCAAATTAATTTTTTATTATAAATATTTAGTTATTGGATTATTAATTATAATATTTTAAATTTTGAATTTTCATCTTTTATAATTTTTATTTTTTTTTACTAAAATTTTTTAATAGTAAAGTTTATAAAAATCAAACAATTATATATTTCATTTTAAAAAATATGCTAATAGTTTAAAATCTATTTTTCTTATTATTATAGATAATACAATTATATTAAAAATAATTCTATTCAATTTTAATCTTTTGTTCAAATTACAATCTTTATATAAATTAGTAATTATATTTAAAAATATTAATTAATTTATGATTAGATCAAAAAATATAAATTCTATTTTCTTTAGTTACAGTAAGTGAATTATATTAGTTTTTAAATAAATTGAATCAACATCTTGTTATCTAATCTATAGAGTACTAATCACCATATTATTAATTTATAGATTTTAAACTTTATATATATTATATCTTAATACTAATTTTATTTATTATATATTTTTAAAAAAATTTTTTTATATATAATTTTTAAAGTTTTTATTATTATTAAAAAATTTTTTTTCTTTATCAAATTTTTATTTTTGAATAATTTAATTGGTCATTATTATAAATTATATAATAATTAATAAAAAAAAATAAAAAATTTAATAATAATAAAACTTAACAAATTATTTATAAAATATTTTTAAAAAATATAATAAATAAAATAAATATTAAAACATAAAATATATAAATTTTATAATTTTTAATTGCATAATTAAAGATTGTCAAAGTTAAATTTATAATAAAAATATAATAAATAAATTCAAATTTTTAAAAATAACTATATATTTTAATTATATATTTTTTGTTTTATTTATCTTAATAATTTTTTAAGCTTTTGTTTCTATTAATTTTTTGATCTTTTATAATCTTTTTATATCTTATGTTTTAAACTTGTTCACAAAGCTATTTGTTATTTTTCTATATTTATTAAGAGTTAATTCAATTTTATGTTATAAGATTTTAATCAATGTTAGTTAGTATAACTATCTATACTATATTATCTTTTTTTTTTAATTAAAAAATATTTGTGTTTGATAATTGATTTAGATTAATTTATTTCTTTATTTATATAGAAATATTAATAAAATTTTCTTTCTTTTTTTATTAATATTTTTTAAATATTATAAAATATCTTCTGTTTTTTTCAAACTATTTATTTATTTTCAGATTTTTCTGAAAGCTTAAATATAAATACTTCTATTTTATATTTATTATTTTTTTATAATAAGAAAAATAGAAAATAAATTAATGTTAAAGAATTTTGACAACTCTCCCCGCTGATCCTCTGACCACACACAAAAAAGATGCTTGCAAGAAGTTTTAACATTGGGATGATAGCCGATTGCAGACTTCACCGGTTCTAAAGATACAGGGACAACTATTCTTTTGATGTTTATCTCGAATGAGTATATAATATGTACTGATCAATATTTTTTAGAATTAATTTTTATTTTGAACTTTTAATTCCGAATAATATACTTTCAGGAGTACCCAAAGTGAACATAACATACCTATTATACCTGCATCATCCGTCGTGCCAACTGTGGACAACCAAAATTTCAAGCCGGAGATAGAGGAAGAAAATAACGGGACATTCTTCCACCGGGGGGGGCAAAGCCGAGAGTGTGGCCGAGTATAGGTATAAAATTCATGCTATCGCATCTGAAGATTCAGCTATGAATATGATTTTGAAGATTCCTTCGATAACAACGAAGATGACTCACGAAGTGAGGATATTAATTCGTCTAAAGATGATGATGAGTTTTACGGTTTCTCTGATGGTGATGAGGGTTATTATTACAATTTAAATACTGGCGAAACTTATAGAAAATCAGATCGTTCAATCTGCGCATATTAAGACGCTAGCGATGCTACATATTTTTTGTGCAACCCAATTTGTACAGTATTTTCCACCGATCATGACCGTTCTAGTGAATAAACTCTTTCAAAAAAAAAAAATTCCGACATCAGAATGTAAAAGAAAATTTGTTTATCTCAGACCGAGCGATCTCAAATGAAAATAATGATTATTAACCAGAATTAGCATTGTGTGATCAGTATTTTTTTTTCTATATTTCTATATACTGTAAACAGGTGTATCGCAGTTGAGTCGCGGTTGAAAAGAATAAAACAAGGTGACCACGTGATGTTAGAATTTCGTATCACAAATAAATCTGTGTGACAATAGATCTAATCGCCGAAGCTATGTCATTTAACGTTGCAGGTTCTTCCACCAGTGTTCCTGTTATCCCTTCATCTGATCTTCTGACGATCAAGGAAGTGAGAGGATTTAATGCCGAAGAACTTAATGGCTTTTTGAAAAGGAGGTTAAACGGCATTGATAATCACATAAATACCTTAACAGATCAAGAAGTTGATGGTGAAGCCTTTCTTGACTTAACGCCCGATAGCCTTAAAGCTTATGAGATACCTCTCGAAGCTATTTCAAAAATCGTAAACCTGATAAACAAAATTCAAAATGGTAAGTGAACTTCTCTTGCACACGCTTTTATATTCGTCAATAATACCGAATACTTACTTCTTCCTGTGCTTTTCTTTCCTGCTTCTTATCGGCAAACCCGCCCAAAAACACATTCGCGTTATCGTAGATCAACCCGTTGCTGGTAAGTGATTCGTAATAAATTTAGTCGACGGAATAAACGCGTCTTGGCTTGATTTTCGATAGCCATTGTTAATAATTTTCTGACATATAGAATCCCCTAGTAAACGAAGAGAATACGGTTATCATTATGAAAAACTGGGAAATGCTTTGAAGAGTGGGAAAGTTGAGAAGCGTGATGGTGGCTAGTTCCTGAATTATCCAGCGACGCTTACTATCTTCTAGGCGAAAACTCACAGGGTCCCAATATATCCACTCTGTTCATCCGTAAATGTTATCACCACCTGTGTAATATTATTTTTGAGAATGAAAATATTCGTCGTTTGCGTATTACTGGCAATCCGGGAATTGGGAAAACCTTCTTCGGCTATTATCTACTTTATCTCCTTTCACAACAACGTAAAACAGTTGTATATCACAAACTAAACAAGCCTCCGATTCTCTTCTGTGAGAATGGAGTTTTTATTCAAGAAGATCTTTACTATTTCTTAGATTACTTGGAAGATGAGGAAACTTGGTATATCGTAGATGGTAGGAAACCGATGGAATATGTCGCAAAGACAATTCTCGTCTGTTCGCCTATGAAGGATCACTATAGGAACTTTGATAAGCTTATCGGAACAACAATACGATACATGCCGGTGTGGGAGTGGGAAGAGGTTGATTCATGCAGGACTATGATCTATAATCATCTTAAAGAATCTGAGGTTAAGCAGTTATTTCTTAAATGGGGAGGGATCCCTCGGTTTGTTCTG